TAAAATATTTGAATGAAACACACACAATCTACTGTCTATGATTATTTAACATCAACGTTGAACAACTGAAATGAAAACACATTGCCTAAAACCAACAGTCAGGTTTTTTTTTTATTTTTATTTTTTTTTATAAAAAGTGAAAATAACTGAATTGTATAACCTGTAAATAATATTTCTTGCATCTCCTGTAAACGAATATTTTAATGTAATGGAAAATATGCCGTCTCAAGGCATCTCTGGTGCAGCTTCCAGTCATCGTCGATGTAGTGCAAAGTAAAGGCTCGTGCATTTAGAACAATGATGAACTGGGCTTAAGCACTTAGTGTAGTTGTCTGAAGAGTGAAACTAACATTTTGTTATCTGCTCTGCGTTTGTTTCATTTGTGGTATCCTCGAAAGCATACTGGTAGACGAGCTTTCCAATAATTTGAAGAGAGTGATGATCTCAGCTTGTCTGTTTGTCAACAGTAGCTGAAGTCGATGTGAATAATGAGCTGTTTGCCCTGCAGTAAATCAGAGGTTTTTTTTCCTTTTGAAATATAATGGTGTGGACCTTTCCAAAGCGCGGTATACCTTGAACATGGTTTTCGTCCCATGCCTAGTTGTGACAGGCCTAAATGATGCGTTTAATGCTCATCAGCTTTCTTAGCTCTATACATTTTTGGACTAAAAATATATCTATGTAATATTTGACTGACATTGTACAGTGTTTCCTTGTTTTCTTTAAAACCAAACTGAAATTTAAGGGGTTTGTGACATGATTAGCATAAACACACAGCAAACACTCCATCTCACCTGGCAAAATAGCTTATATCTCTGGATGTGAATGTTCTTCCAGTCATGTTGAATAATGTATGCTAGTCAGCAAAATATATATAACACTGTTCTAGTGGTTTTTGGATATTTGTATAAAAAAATTGCACGTATCGTGCCTTTAATCTGTTGTTTTACATTTACTGGCATAATGTTGTGCGTGTATTGAAAGCATGTAGCTTCACTGTGTGTTTCTTTTACATTGAATTCTGTTGATCTCCACAAACGTCACATCAGTACCTGATTGGTGTGCACTTTTGCCCAGTATCAGCACTCCTGCTGTTATGTAACCAGACTGCTGCCACGTCCAAACTGCTCACCTATTGGCTTCAGTTCAGTCGCAGTGCTTCAAGCTTGCATTTCATGTAGCTTTGTGGAATTTATTATCTGCCAAGACTCAAGGCATGCCAAGGCTGATTTGTAATGACGCTTTGAGTGCATGTTTTTTTAAAGGTTTCCTCCTCAGTTTGCCAGATAAAGTTGGCATGAACCTGTGATATCTACTGTAAGCCATTAAATAGGGGTAGATTTCCTGCTCTGCTTTTTTATGCTTTTGAAGAACCAAATATGATTGTTGAAAATAATTATTATTACCGCTGTGCAATAGGGGTGTCACGATTTCGATTTTTAAGAGCATAAACTTCGATCATCGAATCAAAAAATAGAATCGTCGATGCTGCCACGCCCCCATGTCACGTCAGCTTGGCTTGCCAAGTGGGAAAAAAACAGGCTTGTTGAAGTGCTTGTTAAACTGCAGAAGCAGGAGACCCGTCGACAGAACTTAAACCCTCTCCTCTTTCAATGAAGTCGCCGGTGTGTAAGCATTTTGGATTTCCAGTGAGTTATGTTGACAACGTTCGAGTTGTCGACAAAAAAAACACAGTTTTGCAAGCTCTGCTATGTACGTATTACGTACGGTTCGTCCGATAGACAACACCGGCATCGCGATCCTCCGCCCGCCCCCGTTGCAAATCCGCTCACGAAAAGTACACACTCAGGCCCTGTTTACACTGTCTTTGTTTTTAAATGGCATTTTAGAACGACAACGATTTGCACTCGAGACAGCAGGTCCAGGCAGTCAGAGGACTGCTTCAATCTTTCACTCACTTGTATTTGGTCATTTTAGCGAACACCTCAGATACTGTTGGCTGGTTCCTGTTGGTTGTGCGTCTTTTTTACCGACGCCATTATAACGACACAGATCACTGCCTATTCACGAGTCCCGCAGAAAAAGTGATTGACAGGTGGTAATTATGTGTGTATCTTGCCTTTATTCATTTACTGTATGATTTGTTTATGGGTAAAACAAAGACCATGCAGGTCAGGGAGTTTAAACGGTAGGCTATAAATAATTAATTGGTCATTAATTAATTAATTATTCATAATCGAATCGAATCGTGCCTTTAGAATCGAAAATGTAATCGAATCGAGAATTTGGAGGATCGTGACACCCTTGCTGTGTTATATGACTATGCATTGACCTTATTCTAAAATGCGGAAGTGTGCCTGTTTTCGCGATTGTTTCAGAACTTCCGATTTATGGGAGAAATGACTAGGAATAAAAAACGTCAGAAAACGGTCAAACTACTTGCTCTACAAACAAATGTCTGCATTACTGTACGGATCAAGTAGAATAATATAATAAGCAAATATAAGTTTGCAACATTAAACAGCGAAACGAGCCGTTTTTAATGTCAAAAAATGAATGGAAGTGAATGAGACCGGAAGTTTTCAGCCGAAAAGATTCAAATAGCTGCGCCCGCTCATCGGCGAAGAATAAGGTGAATAGTATGGACAAAATTAAAAGTCTAGTTTCATATTATGCTCTATTGTCTATTTTGTTAAGTGCCTAAATATTCCCACCCCTAATAACTATGTGCACCTATCAATGCTTATTATTTTTTATGATTCATGGACACTGACTTGTTCATCCTGAATAACTCTTTAATAATACATTTTCTTTTTAGTAGTGTCATTCATTAAACAAAGGCTTAAAACTGTAAATACAGTTGGTTCAAATGTCAATGTGAATGTCCAGGAGAAGACATAGGAAAAATCTTTGAAGCGCCTCTCTGGCGGTATGCTCGGGCATTCCGTTTGAATGTCGAAACCTCAAATTCTCCAAAACAACTACTTTTCCCCATTCAAAAAGATATGAGTGACACGTCTTGTGTATTCTATTGTCTTTTGCTTTAGTATCGAAATACATAGCGTAATTCGTGACTTAAATGTAGCGTTACACCACAAATTTCAGTTCATCAAATCACACTCATGTACATCTCAGGCTAATTCATACCTTTGCAATTACATGTGGATGGTCCGACTCAACTTTGGTATACCATTCACTATGGCTGACACTAGGGCTGGGCGATTTTTCTGTTTTTTTTTTTTTTTTACGTTTTTAGACTTTTGAATTTTGAATCAAATCGAGAAATCGATTTTTTTTTTTTTTTTTTTAGATATATATTTAATACATTATAATGGCACCAATGCGCTTTGGTTCACTCTCTATGAAGCAGGAAGCACATCAGAAGCGCCATGGGTTTTAGAATTCTAAACAGGTTTCTGTACACACAACGGCGCCACCCAGCCACGATTCACGAAGCAGTTTATATTTCAGCCGTGCCACAGAGTGCCATCTGATTAGTTTCATGTTATATATCATGCGAATGTGCGCGTTTGTTATAGTTTAAACTGTCATGTGTGCGCCGTGTCGCGGCGCTTCTGGTGAACAACCTGCTTGACTGCCTGTTAAAGCGTGAAGTCATGTAGGATTTTACTTGTTGCACACGTCTGTGTGGATTGTCAAGACATTTCCTCATCAAGCAATATTTACACAAATATTTCTTATTCAAATCTTCAGCAATGCTATTTAACTCGTGAATTTGTTTTACATTTATTTACACCTTGACCGATTTTTGTATGACATGGCCATTAAAAATACAATGTTCCTTAGCCAGATGGTTTTTCAAGTTACTTTTAAAGAAAATTGATACTTCAGTCATGTTGTTGTAATGTTTTGAGAAGACTAGTAACACACACACACACAAAAATCGAAATCGTGAATCGGTCAAACTTTATAAAAAACCTAGATTTTAAATTTTTTTTGCCAAATCGCCTAGCCCTAGCTGACACCAATCCTGATTTGCTCATCTCGAAAAATGTTGCTATACGTCATAACGATGCATATTGCAAGCTCTGTGAGTGGTTAGCTTGGTAGCGATGTTGAGTGTGAGCGGGGTCGAGAGTCATGGAAGAGGAGTGAACTTATTAAAGCGAGTGTTCAATGTCATGTCAAGTCCCATGGATGAGCTCCAAATGGATGCTTTCGTTTGTGGTTACCTTAGTGTTGTCACGATACTGGAATTCGATACCAATCGGTACTGAAATTTTTAAAATGTCCATTTCCTGCTAACATTTGAACGCGTTCTAAAACGGCACTGATTAGCCATTGTGTTCACATGCTCAACAGAAATGACTATGATTGGACGTGAAGGCCGTCAGTTCACCAAACTCACAGCTAAGTGTAAACTACAGATACAGGGACACTGGACCATTTTAAAGCCGCAAAGATCAGCTTGTCTGTTTATAAGCTGGCATACAAGCGATGAATCAACTGATCTTCACAGTAATAAAAGGCTTCAGTGTCCCTGTATCTGTAATTAAACTCAGTAAACCACAGTAACTTTTAATTGGTTTGGTGAACTGATGACCTTCACGGCCAATCACAGTCGTTTGTTGAACACGTGAACACAAAAGCAAATCAGCGCTGTTTAAATAGCGCTCGGGTGCTCAAATGATTTGAATTCCAGTATTGTGACAACCATAGTTTACCTTATGATTAAAGCTGTTGCATGTCCACCGATTTCCGCCTCTAAATGAGCTAGTTTTAGCTACTTGTACGTTTAAGATAGCATTACAAACTCGAAGATAGAAACCCCACTGTTAGCTAGCATTTTGGAAGTGTTATTGTCTGAGCAACACAAACAGAATGCAGAAGTATAAATGCACAGCTACGCGCAAGGTATAATTCAGCCTTTAGACGACTGCTGGCTATTCAGTTATTGACCACCGGTGTCGCTAATAACAAGTGTTTCTGGATTCTGCAAAGAGTTATGCTGAGACTCCGGCATACCACCAGTATTTGTTTTCCTAAATTCACTTCTTGAATCTTCGCTTTCTCATCAGTGACACATAATGCCGATAGTGGACAAGCTCAAAGAGGCCCTGAAGCCGGGACGCAAGGACCCTGGTGATGAGGGCGACCTGAACAAGCTGCTAGCTTCATCCGCCAAGAAGGTGTTGCTGCAGAAGATCGAGTTTGAGCCGGCCAGCAAAGGCTTCAGCTACCAGCTGGAGACCCTCAAAACCAAATATGTGATCCTGAACCCTAAGAATGATGCGGCCACATCGCAGAGACCTACTGAACCTGCTCAGATTAAGAGGCAAAGTAAGATCGCCATACTGACTCGGGGCCCATTGTTTCTGAGCATTTCTCAGTTGTTCATTTCAGTTTATTAGTGTTCATAAGAATGTGTAGATTCAAAATTGGGTGGCAGAGAATTTACAGTAAATGAAATAAATTGGTTTACAATACAAATCATATCTGGAGGATACTTGAGCGTAATAATATTGGGGGGAAAACTGTGATGTGTTTTTCTGCAATGTATTTAAACTGATATGAATACGATTTTGCTAGATGATCTCACAGAAAAAAAAGAATTCGCAATTTTTGATTTAGATTTATTGATATGATTTTGTAGGGTAGTGCATTTGTTTAAAATATATTAAACAAATTATAAGCACATATAAATACAAAAGAGTAAAGATAGAAACAAAATAAACACAGTGTTTCCTCTAGGAAACCTCTAGGATGCTTCTTGTCCATTCTAAGACCCACTTTATGTATCGTATATCAATCAGGCAATGAAAATGGTTGATTTTTAAAGATAACAGACCTAGAAGTGCTTGAACTTGATTCCTGATATTTGACATCCTTCTGCATATACCCTATTGCAGTTTAACACATTGCAATGTCGATGCTGAAATGATTGTGTAACCCTACTAGATACTTTTATGTAGTGCTTTGTCTAGTAAAACAGAAACTAAAACGCGTTGTTCTGGTGTTTCCCCACAGTCTCAGAGTCTCTGAGTGTCGGGCAGAGCGATGGCATCCCCGCTCCGCAGAAGATGCTCTTTCCAGGGAACAAGCTGTCCATGAAGTGGGAACGGGTGTATCGGGTTGGAGCCGGCCTCCACAACCTGGGCAACACCTGCTTCCTCAACTCCACTGTGCAGTGTCTGACCTACACCCCGCCGCTGGCCAACTACCTGCTGTCCAAGGAGCACAGCCGATCCTGTGAGAACAAGCCGCATTTCATAATAGAGCAATTCCAACATTATGGATGTGACATTTGCAGTGAAAACTTAAAGTATAAATTCACATAGGAAGTGTATGTTAACATATGTATACAACGCATCTGGAAAGCATTCATAGCGCTTCAGTTTTTCCACATTTTTTTATGTTACAGCCTTATTCACGCTGATGTTATAGGATGTCTGCATTGGTTTCTTTGGTAATGACAATGCGGACATGGGAAACTCAACAGCGACACAGTTGTTAATGCAGATGTTTTTATATAATGTGACATGCTGTCATTTCTCTTGAATGGTACATCTTACATGGCAGAAATGTAGGAAGATTAAATATACGCTGCCATCTTTGATAAATTGTAAAATAAAAAAATACATCAATAAATCTGAAAGCTTCACATCAGAAAGGAAAAACCTATGCAAAATTCTCTTCTTTCCAGAAATTTGATCTGACAGCCTGTATGAGGCTTAAAGGGACAGTTCACCCAAAAATGAACATTTCCTCATTGTATACTCTCCTTCAAGTTCTTTTAAACCTGTTTGAGTTTTAGTTTCTGTTTGATATTCTAAAGCAGGGGTCACTAATCTCGGTCCTGGAGGGCCGGTGTCCCTGCAGGGTTTAACTCCAACTTGCCTCAGCACTCCTGCCTGGATGTTTCAAGTATACCTAGTAAGACCTTGATTAGCTTGTCCAGGTGTGTTTGATTAGAGTTGGAGCTAAAATCTGTAGGGCACCGGCCCTCCAGGAACAAGTTTGGTGACCACTGTTCTAAAGGATGTTGGGGAAAACAAACAAACATTGACTTCCGTAGTATTTTTGGTTTATGCTATGGATATCAAAGGCTGCTTTTCCAGCTCTCTTCGGTATATCTTCATTTATGTTCAACAGAAGAAAAACTCAAACGGGAACCAGTTGAGAGTCAGTAAATAATGACATCATTTAAAATTTTGCATGAACTGACGCTTTAAGTTTTGTGACTACGATGTTTCCTGTGTGGAATTGACTGTAATGTTGATGTAAACAACTCTTATTTGTCTCCTTCAGGTCACCAGTCCGGATTCTGCATGATTTGCGTGATGCAGAACCATATCATTCAAGCCTTTGCCAACACAGCCAATGCCATCAAACCTGTATCTTTCATCCGGGATCTGAAAAGTAAGAGATGCATCTTTCAATTCTCAACCAAATATCTTTTGAAGCTAAAAGAGGGTTTGTCTGATGACTAGGGCCAGATGGAATCTGTGGACGTTTTCTGCTATTTCTGCAGAGAATTTTGGTAAAAATTTGCGGGTTTCTGCGGAATGATTTTGGAAGTATCATAACTAAAACCTTAATTTGTGAAATAATAAATAATATCTTTTTAACATTTATTTAATGTTTAAAATGCAAATCCAATTTGATCCACTTTATTTTTTTAAACAGCAAGTCTCTCATATAAATATATCTACTAAAAAACAGAAAATATTACTGTACAAAGCATTGTACATAAATCAGATAAATCATATTTTCATATTAATTAATAATATTATTGAAATTAATCAAAAAACTGAATAAATATAGGATTACACACATTTACTCAAGTAAATAAACAGAATTATTGATAGGCTAAAAATCTGCAGAATTCTGCACGAGCAGATTCCGTGTGGGCCTACTGATGACTGCACCGATACTAATGCCGGGTTCACACCAAAAGCAAAGAGAACATTTGCATCCAGGGCTTAACATTAACACCCGCCAAATGCGGGTAGATATCAGCGGTGGCAGGTAAGACTGACTCTCCCACTAGCCTCTTTAGCTGGTTGAAAATAATTTTCTTGGATAATAATTCTTAAAAGCAGCGTTTGACAATAACGATGGTCCAATATACATGCAAAGGCGATCTTAGAATTGAGAAGCGACTGTTTAAAACACGTGCGCGCTTCTGTTTCCTTGCATGAAGCAACTTTGTCTAGAAACACACAACTGGTGTGATCGGTTCTCTTTCAAATAGACTAGACAAAAAGGGATGAACATGCACCCACAGTCTTGCTGCTTTCAATAGTTGACAATAAGGATGGTTCAATATGCATTCAAAGGCGATCTTAGAATTGAGAAGCAACACTACTGACAAAAATAATTGCGTTCAAGCGATCAATAGAAAGCAGGTGAAAACCGAATGAGAGGATGATCACTCGCGCTAATAACTGAGGTGATGCGCTTGACTGTTTAAAACACGTGCGCGCTTCTGTTTCCTTGCGTGAAGCAACTTTGTCTAGAAACACACAACTGGTGTGATCGGTTCTCTTTCAAATGGACTAGACAAAAAGGGATGAACATGCATCCACAGTCTTGCTGCTTTCAATAGTTTTTTTATAGTTGTTTAAATTTTTTGTAAGCAGCACTGGTTGCTTCTGCTATTCTTTGAACAGATTATTTATGGGTCTAACGATAACCTTGTGTGTTTGTGATCATCCATTCATTATCACAGGGTATGTTTTTTACCTGCTTTCATTTGTGTTAATATGATTTAATTATCATTTTTTATAATAACATTGCTTTAATGGGAGATTAACTCCCCATTTATGTGTAGTTAACTGGTGATGGGACCTTTAGCCAGGACAGATTACTACTGTGCATGTGTTTTGTTAAATAAAGTATAGTATACAGCTATATTTAGCTTGTTTTGATACATTTAAACTTTGTGGCTGAGAAATAATTAATTTACGTTTGGTGTGGTCGGAGATAAATTTGGTAAATCCTTCATTTTGAGCTCTGAAAAGTATGTGAAATAAAAACTAATTGTAGTACTATGAAACCCTGACCCATTTGCTCATGATTATTGAGCAAGCTCATACACGAAACACAAAAAGTGAAATGAATGAGGAGGCATGTGGAGATCTAAATCAAGTAATTTTAGCATGTCAAAGTCATATTTATGTATATAAAATAAATTTTCCCAATAAAATTGTGGCTAGTGAAAATGGCGAGTGGCTAGTAATGTTGGCTAACTACTAGCCACAGTGGCTGGTGACTAAAGTTAATATCAAGCCCTCTTTGCTTCTAAATTACTTGCCTAATGTTCTTCATTCATTTGCATAAATGTTTTTATCCACACAAAGGACGTGAACAGCATCCTGTGAGTCTAAATATAACTACGTTCACTGCTTCGTACCTGTTGTTCAAGTCCAAAAAAAAAGAAGCAAATGTGACGGGTGTATGAGCTGATCAGCAAAATCTCGATTACACAGTCTTCTTTAGGAACTGTGTCTGGATGACATCATTTTCAGTGCTACTTGAGGATGATAGGTGCCCTGATATTACTGCCATCTGCTGGCTACTCAGATTAGGAACTTCTCCCTTCTCCCTACTGCCCACATCACAGCATGCTTGCTCAGTTCCTTTGCTTGCATCTCCAGCATCATGGCAAGGGTTGGGTATCGTTTAGGGCTTTTTCATTAACGGTGGTAAATCCATACTTTTAAAACAGTTCCTCAACCCGATACTTTTGAGCCACAAAATTAATTATTATTTTATCTAATATTTATATATTTTATCCTTTTAATTGAGCATTGTAATAAAATTTTCAAGTATACATCAATTCACATTTTATAAATTTGATTTGCATTGATGTATTTCTTTGGAGCATTTGTTTGTCAGCATGAATTTCAGATTTGCATTATGCGGTTAACATTATATTAGCTTACAACTAACCTGTGGAAAGGCTGTCATCAAAGTCAGGGCTTGTGACTATTCATATGGACATCAGTAATCTAATGACTTGTCTTAATCTGAATAAGACAATAATATGATAATGGTGTTTACATGAGTTGCTTTTTGACTGCTCCTTTTATGACCCTGTTTTACATGTTACAGCAAATAGATCGATAAACGGTGCAGCGTCACTGCACTCTCCAACGTTTTCTGGACCGTAGTTGTACCGGGTATTATGTTATGTATTAGATTACTTAATAAATTGTATATTTTAATATCTACCCCCACCCCACCCCAACCCTAAACATAACCATCACAGTACTGTAAAAATCTTAAATATTGTAATACAGTGGCACAAAAAAGATGCTATATTGATGGCGTATCTGCAGCTGTATCTTATCTAGACTTTACCCGTAATTTCAGAGGTTTATTTTTTTTATTTTGTGACTTTAACTGCAGTTTGGCAGTTTCGCTTTCATTCAATTCATGCCCTATATTGAACTGAGATTAAATGAGGACTGTAAGGGCTGGTGGAAGACTGTTGTTTTAATGGAATTTGATACCGCACGCCGAATGGAAAGAGAAAACCTCTGCATTTCATGACACGGGTGTCTATGGTCCTTTAATCAAAAATTGCTGTTTACATGGTAGACTCTTAATCAGAGTATTGTCTTAATCATCTTAAAGTCCAAGTATTGGTGTCCACGTGAACGTACTCTGTGAAAGTGCCAGATGATGTCGCAAGCTGACAGCGCATTCCTTCGCCTTTAAGTTGAACATGTGCCCTCAAATATTTTGTTAAGTTTTATACAAAACTTTTGTACAGCATCTACTTCATGATGCTGTGTCAGAACTTTTGCTCGTAAAATACAGCCACATTTAGAACGCTTAGTTAAAGCAAATTAGTTGAATGCGATCATGTGTGTTGATGAAGGGAGTTGCTAACCTGATGAGCCATACTGCGTGCTTTGGCTTCTATTTCTAAGCAACAAGAACAAACCCATAACATCGCTGGCGGTGTCCATAAGTGTTTAGTAATGGTGTGACACAATGCATACCTATTTTATATCCTTGTTGCAGCACCAGTGGCACCAAAATTCATATGATGATTCGCTCTGGTGCATATCGGTTACCTAGGTACTGGTGCCAAAGTGGCACCGGGTTTGGTACCTAACCCTAATCATGGCAGGCAAAACTTTGCGTTTTCTTCAAGTTAAACTTGCGTGAAAAATGAGATTAAGGCAAACTTCACGTTCACAGCAAACGCATTGCACATTCTGCGTATTTCACATCACCCAGTGGAAATCACTCTCTCGTGTTTTTATTGACCTTGCATGTAAATTAGTCGCACGAATACTTGATTCTGTGTTTGATGTGAACCCGGCATAAGTGTTGAATCATAGTTCTTTTTTTTCTCCTAGATCGCTTTTTTTCCTATTCATTTGCTTAATCATCCTCTGACCTAACCAGACCTTTTTTTCTAATCCTTTAGAGATCGCTCGGCATTTTCGATTTGGCAGTCAAGAGGACGCCCATGAGTTTCTGCGTTACACTATTGATGCCATGCAGAAAGCTTGTTTGAATGGTTATCCTAAGTAAGGCCCCTGCCAAAACAAACTATCTTCATAAACAATAAGTTTGTTTTAGTGTTTCAGAGAAACAATAATGACCTTCTTGTTGACAGGCTGGACAGGCAGACGCAGGCCACCACACTAGTCCACCAGATATTTGGAGGATATTTGAGGTCAAGAGGTAAGGTCAATGTGACGCACTGAGCTCCGAGATGAGGATGTTACTAATGCCTAGTTCAGACTGCGTGATTTTAGCCTCGATTTTGGCTCGCCGACAGGTTTTGAGAAATCGCCGACAAATGCCTGAAATCACAGGCAAATCGCTGCTCGTGCACGTGAGTGACAATCACACAGTATGAACTTTCAAAGACGCGATCTGAGAGAATCGCAGATGAGTCGCCGATGCCTGTGAGATATTTGGCGTGCTGAATATCTGGAGCTGTCGGCAATTCAAATCATGCCGTGTGAATTGAGTTTTGACTGAAAATAACATGGGCGATTGCCTACAGCCAATGAGAGAGCAGCATTCACTTGTGTGTTCGTGTGTGTATACCTGCTGCAGGCCAGCGGGAGGCTGGGGGAGAAGTTAAAAGCGCTCATTTTCGGTTTATTTGGACCCACGAAATGGAGGAAAAACTAGTGGACGTTTGACAGGACTTAGGAGCAACTGTGTCTGTTTATCGTTTCATACAGAAAGAAATTAGTTTATTATCAACGTTGAGGAGAAATGGCTAATTCTTTAAACTCAGGTGAGCAAACATGTACATGTTCTACCCCATTAAAGGCTTCTTTCTCATTATGTAGTTAATAACAAAAGATATACTACGTGTTTTTGGCTGTGAGACGTAGTTTGGACGAAGTTGTCGGCGATTCTTCCTATAGTAAAGTCATGCAATGTGAAAGTCCCTGACGCCGATCCATCTTGCAGTGTAAACAAAGCAGCGACGAAACGCTAGCCCAGATAGTCATGCGGTGTGAAAACATCTGTGACACGACTACTTTCAAAATCATGCAGTCTGAACTCGGCATTAGTGATAGAATGTTATAAAAGAGTTGCACATCATATGTTTCTTTGATATATAGACCCTTTTCACATTTACGGTTTTTCAGAAGCGAAAGTCCTCATAGTTGGGAAAATTAAGAGTGCAGTGAATGGTAGAGTACAACAATTTATTTTTTTACTATCTTATTTGCTGAAATAATAAAATAAAAACTTCTAGATGGTGTTATCAAGCCTTGTAGAAAAAGGGAAAAAAATATTTGAGACTGATGACAGCAGCCTGAGGAGAGATTAATGTCAAATTTACTCTCAGCCCCATAGACACTGATTTACAAATGCCTTGCACAAGTGGTAATTTGGTTTTTATAATTTGAAGCAAAGATGATATAATACATTTATAAATGCATATAAATGTTCACACTTAAAAAAAATCTAAATATTAAAAACTTTCAAGGATTTAGGATACTGATAAGCATTTAACGCATCATAACAGGCTTGTGAAAAGGGTCTATTATTGGTTTTATTGTTGATTTTGGCCATGCTTATTATATATACTAGTTATGTGACCCACCCAGAATGGATAGATAGAAGATATTTCGATGGTTGGACTGATGATAATCAGATAAAGTGATGCTTAATGGGATGAACAAACAGATAATCCAATAGATGGATAATTTGGAAAGGAAATCTTATGGATGGATGGGGGATGGATGATATTTCACAGATAGATAGATATTTAGATAGATCTTATATGAAATCAAGTTGAAAGCTAGATATTTAATAATTAGCTAGATGGATAGATGATTGGATAGACCAGTGGTCACCAAACTTGTTCTTGGAGGGCTGGTGTCCAGCTGATTTTAGCTCCAACCTTAATTAAACACACCTGAACAAGCTAATCAAGGTCTTACTAGGTACACTTGAAACATCCAGGCAGGTGTGTTTAGGCAAGATGGAGCTAAGCCCTGCAGGGACGCCGGCCCCCCAGGACCAGGATTGGTGACCCCTGGGATAGACTATCAGACGTGAGTAATTGGATGGATAAATATGCAGAAAATGTTATGAATCTGAAAATATTTGGTTTCAGATCTATGGATAATCGATGGATGATATGTTGATATGCAAGACGAATATATGTGTATTCAAATTATTGGATAGTCATTTTATCAAGTTGATTGATCGATAATTGGATAGATGGGTAGATATTTGGTGGATCATTTATTGTATGGATAATCAAATGGTTTTGTAGATAATTGGATTGAATTGCAGAGTGCTTCTGATAAATAAAAAGCAGATGGGTATAGATATCCTGATACATGTTGGTTAATCTTAGAAGAATGGACATTTGGATAGATTATCAAATGAATGGATAATCAGATATTCAGGTATTCCCGATGCTGTTTGGATGAATTTGTTGATTTTTTTTCAGATAGCTAAATGGGTTTTAATGGATTTCATTACTTACATTTACATTTAGTCATTTAGCAGAGGCTTTTATCCAAAGCGACTTACAGATGAGGACAAGGATCAATTTACACAACTATAAGAGCAACAATGAATAAGTGCTGTTGGCAAGTTTCAGGTATGTAAAGTGTAAGACGCAAAACCATTAGTAATAAACAAAAATATTTATTTATTATATGTATATATTTTTGTAGTACAGTTAGCGGTGGAGCCAGAGCGGGAATTGCAGGTTAGGAAGTGAAGTGGAGACTAAATAGTTGAGCTTTTAGTCGTTTCTTGAAGACAGCGAGTGACTCTGCCGTTCTGATGCATTTAGGGAGTTTATTCAACCAACTGGGCAGATTGAATGCAAGAGTTCGGGAAAGTGATTTCTTCCCTCTTTGGGATGGAACCACGAGGCGACGTTCATTCACAGAACGCAAGTTTCTGGAGGGCACATAAATCTGCAGAAGTGAGAGCAGATAAGGAGCGCAGCCAGAAGTCACTTTGTAAGCAAACATCAGAGCTTTTAATTTGATGCGTGCAGCAACTGGCAGCCAGTGCAAACGGATGAGTAGCGGAGTTACATGTGCTCTTTTAGGTTCATTAAAGACCACTCGTGCTGCTGCGTTCTGAAGCATCTGAAGAGGCTTGATAGAGTTAGCTGGAAGCCCGGCTAGTAGAGAGTTGCAATAGTCCAGTCTGGAGAGAACAAGAGCTTGAACAAGGAGTTGAGCTGCATGTTCAGATAAGAAGGGTCGGACCTTTCTGATGTTATAGAGTGCGAATCTGCAAGATCGAGCAGTTCAGTTTAGTTGGTCATCAATCGTTACTCCAAGGCTTTTCTCCATTTTGGATGCAGTAATTGTTGCCCCGTCCATCTGGATTGAAAAGTTATGATGTAGAGTCGGGTTGGCAGAAACTTCAAGCATTTCTGTTTTTGCGAGGTTAAGCTGAAGATGATGATGATGATGATGATGACGATGATGACTTCAGTCTTTAGTGTCACGTGATCAGACATATATGGTTATCAGTTTTGAAAACCGTTGTGTTGACCTATATTTGTTAATAAAACTGTATTACTATGAAATAGATATCATTTGTCATATAATAAATAGGTTTCTTGCCATCTTTGGCCAGTTTACTGCAGAATTCTACAGACCTGAAACCTTTTAAATGGTAGCGAATGATGCAGTATTTTATTGCTATTGTGTTTTCTCTGTTTGTGCAGTGAAATGCTCTATTTGTAAAAGCGTTTCCGATACCTATGACCCCTACCTGGACATCGCTCTGGAGATTCGGGTGAGATTCAGAATTCAGTGACTCAGCCATGTCAGGATGATGAATGTCTGTTGTCCCACAGAGAAAAACATTTAACACTCTCTTTTTTTTTTCTTTTACAGCAAGCAGCCAACATCGTTCGTGCTCTGGAGCTGTTCGTCAAGCCTGATGTTTTGAGCGGAGAGAACGCCTACATGTGTGCCAAGTGAGTAGAATACACACAATATCAGCAAAACGCATTCATGTAGGCCAGTACTCTACTAAATCCTGTAAGCCAGTATTTCCCAACCACGTTCCTGGAGGCACACCACCAACACTACATATTTTGGATGTCTCCCTTATCTGAACTATTAACCTCAGGGTTTGAAGTCTCTTCTAATGTTCTGAGTTGATTCAGGTGTGTTTGATTAGGACAGTGGTCACCAAACTTGTTCCTGGAGGGCCGGTGTCCTGCAGATTTTAGCTCCAACCCCAATCAAACACACCTGAACAACCTAATCAAGGTCTTACTAGGCATACGTAAACATCCAGGCAGGTGTGTTGAGGCAAGTTGGAGCTACGCCCTGCAGGGACACCGGCCCTCCAGGACCGAGATTGGTGACCCCTGGATTAGGAAGAGGTTGAATATGTAGTGTTGGTGTGTCTTCAGGAACCGGTTTGGGAAACCCTGCTGTAAGCGACTGCTCAGAAAATCCCAGAGCACAGTATTATATCAGTTATATTTTCCTGCTCTAGATGTAAGAAGAAAGTTCCAGCTACCAAGCGCTTCACAGTTCACAGAACCTCAAATGTGCTCACGCTGTCGCTGAAAAGGTTTGCCAACTTCAGTGGAGGGAAAATTACCAAGGTATCGGCCTGTACACTTTAAGGCTGGACTTTAAGTCTGTGATTTGGCTGCTGATTGTTGGTTTTCTGGTAGGATGTCGGCTACCCGGAGTTCCTGAACATTCGTCCGTACATGTCACAGAGCAGTGGAGATCCGGTGATGTACGGCCTGTACGCGGTCCTCGTGCATTCAGGGTACAGCTGCCATGCTGGGCATTACTACTGCTACGTCAAGGTGAGCACAACACAGTGGCTTGAAATAAAAGATGTTATAAAAGTGGTTTTTATTTCTGTAATATTTTCCAAGCTCAATGGTGTATTGCAAGAATTAATAGAAAAGCTTTTTCAATTTATTTGACTTAACGTTCCGCTTCACGTGTCCTGTGATAGGCCAGTAATGGACAGTGGTATCAGATGAACGACTCCATGGTTCATTCCAGTAACATCAAGGTTGTTCTTAATCAGCAGGCCTATGTGCTCTTCTATTTGAGGTACCTTTCACAGTTCTTAACCTGCTGTTCATGTATGTAGAGCAGAAATTCACACACTCGTGTGTTTTCTGTGTTAGGATTCCTGAAAAGAAAAACACAGATGCAAAGCAGAACATGGTGCACTCTGGGAGAACTAACATGACACCGGAGCAGCTGAAGAAAAGCACACTTAATGGACCTTTGTCTTCACCCCAGGTCACAAAGGTAAGCACGTCTGACATGATTGGACATGCAGACAAACCCCCCTGTTTCAGCCGGGAGTTTTTACACCTATAGTTTGGAAAAGGTCCAGAAAGTGGGCGAGTCCAGCTCTGTTCAGGTGGGAGTGTTGGGGGAAGGAAAGAGGAAATGTTTTGCATAAAAATGGGAGTTTCCGTTTGGACACGCACTGATTTTGACTGAGGCGAAACGACACACAGATGCAGGGGAGAAGGACAGTGACTGTTTACATGGACATCATTAATAAAATTATTTGCCAAACTTTTAATTTGTGGACTTTAACTGCAGTTTGGCACTTTTATTCAAGAACTTTTCATGCATTCCAAGTGAAAAATAAGATATTGCATACGAGGAACTGCTCGAAGTGTTTTATCGAAATGTTTGATAGCGCACGGTGAATGGGAGGAAAAAAACCTCTGCATTTCTTGGTAACTTAGATGCACTCAGTAATTATCGTCAGAAGGCCGTGTGTATAAGGTTAGTCTATCCTGTCACAAAATGAGGTGAAAATCCTACACGACTGTAATAGTTTGATTGCAGTTTTTACATGTTTATACTCCGGATTTCACCATTTCCAGATGAGAAAAGCTCTCTGGTAAAAAAGTTCCCTAGACACGTATTTCTGTCGTGTGTCGCATGCACTGTAGTCCACACGTGAGTCCAGCTGCACTCTCATAAGTGGAAATGAAAACAAAACCTTTGTTGCAACACATTAATCGACCCGTCGCAACACGGTCAACTCGTATCTCCAAACAATTCTTCTTCTTTCACTTGTTTTGGCTACATAACGTGGCGTCTCTCTGCCATCTAGACACCGTAACAGGTAAAAATAGTCTTGGAAGCTATCATGCATATTAATGAAGTTGCACCTCATGCACAATAGAGCGCGCTGATTGGTTCAAACCAAGTCTTTCTCATGAATAACTCGATGTACTCCCAGGTACAGACGTCCACTCTCCACACTAGTATACACGCAAGGATCTAATCGGCGTGACGCAGCTTCAAAAATTTGTTTCAAATCGGAAGAACAAATTTGCTCGAAAAGCCACTTCATTCGCATGTCAAATTCACTTCACAATGGACGTAGATTTGTCATGGGCTGGACTTTTGTCTGCCCGGTGAATCTAATTTTGTTACTAAATGGTTCAAATGGTCACCCACTGAAGCCAAGCAGGGCTGTGCCCAGTCAGTACATGAGTGGGAGATCATATGGGAAAGCTATTTTGCTGCCAGAAGTGGAGTTAGTGAGGCCAGCAGGGGGTGCCCAACCTGCGATTATGTGTGGGTCCTAATGCCCCAGTATAGTGATGGGAACTCTATACTGCTTAGTTAGCACCATCTTTCGGATGAGATGTTTAACCGAGGTCCTGACTATCTAAGGTTATTAAAAATCCCAGGATGTCCTTCGAAAAAATGTTTAACCCCGGAATTCTGGCCAAATCTGCCCACTGGCCTCTGTAATGTCTCTGCTCCACCAATTAGCTGGTGTGTGGTTGCCGTCGCGTCATCCAGGTGGATGCTGCACACTGGTGGTGGATGAGTAGATTTCCCTCTATGTGTAAAGCGCTTTGAGTGCCCAGAAATGTGCTATATAAATGTAAATAATTAATATTATTATTATTATGGATTTTATTGAAAGAGAAGCTGTGTTAATGTGCTGTAGGAAAACTAAAAAAACAGTGTAGATTTGTTCGGTGCCATGTCTGAGTCCACTAGATCCTTTCAGAGGTGCACCAGCTGTGTGAGTTTATCAACTCCTCCAGAAACTTAACCTGGATTATGGAGGCTTTCAGCGGTGCTTCCAGCGGTCGTCCAGTGTTGGCAGGAGGATTTCCTCTCAGGACACCAACTGCAAGGGCTACGTCATAATCTAACCCCTACAAGAGTAAGTTCCTGATTGGTTGACATGGCACGAATGTCAACTAAATTCATCTGAAGTTCAGATTTTCCAACTAGAGTGTTTCATGCGTAAAACGCGCAAAAAGCTTAACTTGCACCTATCATTTGTAGGATGTACTTTCGCATCTTTGCATTGGCTTAAATCACTCGCGCTTGACACTTCATCCACAACTGGTGTAAACGCACCATGTGTTGTCAGGTGGAAAAAAGGTGTCAGCCTCTCCAGCGTTTTCAAAAAGCTCAAACTCCGGCATAGTGTGGACTAATGGCATTCCCGTAGCAAAACTTATGCGTTTTAAAACTAAAACATATTAGGATAAATGGGGTCTTAGTCTACTGAAATGTGTATATCCCTAGAAAGTATAAAGCTGATCGGGTAGTTCTTGCCACATGACTCGCAGTGCGCTCGCGGCATTCATTCAACTGGTTGCGCCTGAAAGGTCTCCATTGGAAATAACAAACTTGCACGATTTTCTAGAAAAGACGCAATATGCTAACAGCTCCTGCCAAAGGCTGTCGTTATTTGCTAACTCCAGCAGTTGATTTGCTTGCACAGACAATGTGGATTTACCTGATTTGTTGACAAATGGGTTGCAGATCCATTCCTTGTCAGTTCGCGGGTACTTTGCTGGGCCTATTCACCTTAGCAAAGAAACTTAGCAAACCGTCTGTTACTTACTCATTTTGCTGCTTGTTGTTAAATTTGAGCACTCAAGTGACCTAGAAGCAAGAGAATACGGTCATTTTTCTAAATAAAAGAGTTTTCAAAATAAAAGGTCGTTCGATTTATTACAGAAGAAAAAAATTAAGGATTTCTTGTCCAACTGGTTCGCGGCCAGATGGTTGACGACCACTGCTTAAGTTTATTAAAAAAACTTTGATTTTGTTTAACTAAATTTCTGATCTAAAGTTAACATTTTTTTAAATAAAATTTAATTGAAGAATAATGGAGAATAAGATTGTTAGGTTGTTTCAAACTGAACTTCTAATACAGAACCTTTTATAAAGACATACATTTAGAGCACAATGATATACTGTCCCCTTAATATTCTATTATCCATTGGACGACTTTCACCACATATTATATCCAATATATTTCTTGGTTTGTAAAAGGTCTTTAAAACTTTCCAAAAATGTTTGATTGGACCGACTTATTTTAAAGGGTCACGAAACACCAAAACACGTTTTTTGAGCTGTTGACAGTCGTATATGTGTCCCTAAAAACACTATTAGGACACCTATATTTCACTAAAAAGTGTAAATTGGTTGTTTTTGCGTTATTTCAAGCAAATTCGTACTTCCGGTTTGAAACAAATTTTTGAAGCTGCGTCACGGTCATGACATAATAGCGTTGTATTCCAGCGTGCAGACTGGACGTCTGTGCCAGAGTGAATCTTATTATGTCTTACAGTGTGATGCATTAATGCATGATTAAGGCTTGGTTCAAACCAATCAGCGTGCTCTATTGTGCAACTTCATTAATATTTATTACTGTCACCGTGTTTACACGACAGAGACGCCACGTTGTGTTGGCAAACCAAGCGTGAAGTGTTGCTTTTATAGTTTGCTGCAGTTTTGTTGTCATTTTCTCTCTGTGAGAGCTCATCTGGAGTCACGTGTGGATAAACAGTGTACGCGACGCTCGACAACAATAACTTACGTGTCTAAGGAGGATTATTGTTTACCTGAGAGCTGTTCTCATCTGCAAACGCTGAGATCCAGATTCGCTTGTAGTCTTCTCTTCATAAAGACGCGGCTCTAGTTGCTGGTGATTGTCCTGTCTCTACAGATTTGGTAAGTGAGCGACCGGTACTCTGTTTATTCAGTTTGTTCGTATCGAACTAAGTTAACTATTGCACCGAGTGTAAACACGTTAGCATCACAGCCAAACTTTAACCTCGTATAGGGTTTTTACCGCATTTTGTGACCGGAATAACACATGCGGCTTTCTGACGCTACCCGTCGAGTGCATCTAAGTTTCCGGGAAATGCAGAGGGTTTTTTCTCTCATTCGCCGTGCGGTATCAAACATTGCATGAAAAATACACGCTTAGAGCAGTTCCTCGAATTAAATATCTTGTTTGTCGCGAGAGGCATGAATGAATTTCCTGAATCAAAGAGCCAAACTGCAGTTAAAGTCCAACATTTAATAATTTGGCAAATAATTCGACTACAGATGTCCATGTAGGTTAAACACCATCACTTTCTCCAGTGTGTGTATTTTGACTCTGAAACTCGCGCGTGCCCAAATAGACACTCCCACACCCTCCCACTTTAGTTCCTCTGACACTCCCCCCTAAACAGAGCTGGACATGCCCACTTTTCTGACTTTTTCCAAAGTAGAGGTGTGAAAACACCCTGCTGAAACGAGGGGGTTTCATGGCCCTTTAATGTTTGTAAGAGACTTATGAAGTGAACTCGAGAAAAAGGAGTTTGCATCTAGCAGTCCCTGCCACACAGTATCACCTGCACAGAATACTTCTAATAAGGTGTTTGTTCTGCAGAAGCTAGATCCGGCTCAGCTGAGAAAGATCCAGTCAGTGGATGGAGGTCTTGGTGTTCCTGTTGCCAGGAACTGTTCGGGACTCCAGTCGCCGAAGCTGTCTAATGGGACGAGCAACTCTCATGCCCTGCTCAAACCGGCCAGTGGACCCTCGCTTATAGAAGAACCCTTGAAGAAGGTGAAGAAACCCACAGCTCAGCCTCACTCCCGCAGCAGCACTCCTGCTCCATCCAGCGGCCTCCACAAAACCAACAGCAAACAACTGCCGTCATCTACCTCACTCAAATCTCTGTCCGACTCCTCCTCAGCAGACACCTCCTCCTCCTCCGAGTCCAGAGTGAGTCCCCAGACCCTCAAGTGTGTGTGTTGTTTGATGTGTGGTTTTTCACTAAGTGGTATGGTACAGTTCGGTTTGGTTCACTCTAATCAAGCTTGTTTCAACTGTTGTACGGAGAAGAATGGCTAAAAATTGCATGGGCCTCTTAGGTATCATGTCTTTTGTGTCCTGAAGTTAATTTTCAAATGTAGATAGTGTTAAAATAGAGCAAGTGGCACCACTCACTCTTTCTACATGTTTAAATTTGACATGAACGGCTCTGTGCCCAACAATGGTGGACATGCAGCAGATCCTGTTCTTATTAGTTTGTAATTGATTGTCGCAAGAAAACGTTAAGCTTTGTTTGACCAGAATTTTAAAAATGTTTATTTCAACATTATATTTCTGTATTCCAAAAGGAATAAAAATTATTATTTTCTTTAAAAATGTACAAAAACCACACCAGCACATTTATGTAGTCATCCAGTTGACATTCCTCAGTCAATCCTGAAAGGTTAGCTGTGGTTCTGAGTACTCTGGGTTTTCTTCAAGAATCTCTGTTTATGATGCATCTCATCCTGATGAGTCTCCCATGATCACTTTGGGGTTTGGCAAAGTGATGAGCAGTGCCTAATATCCTCCTCCAGACAGAGTTTAATCTTTGTTTCATCAGACCAGAGGATTGGATTTTTTTTACAGTTAGAGTCTTTCAGGTGCATTTTGGTCAAGTTCCAGGTATGCATCATGTGCCTTTGCTAAAGAGTAAGGGTGTCACGATCCTCCAAATCCTCGATTCGATTACATTTTCGATTCTAAAGGCACGATTCGATTCGATTTTCGATTATGAATAATTAATTAATGACCAATTAATTATTTGTAGCCTACCGTTTAAACTACCTGACCTGCATGGTCTTTGTTTTACCCATAAACAAATCATACAGTAAATGAATAAAGGCAAGATACACACATAATTACCACCTGTCAATCACTTTTTCTGCGGGACTCGTGAATAGGCAGTGATCTGTGTCGTTATAATGGCGTCGGTAAAAAAGACGCACAACCAACAGGAACCAGCCAACAGTATCTGAGGTGTTCGCTAAAATGACTAAATACAAGTGAGTGAAAGATTGAAGCAGTCCTCTGACTGCCTGAACCTGCTGTCTGAAGCGCATGGCTGTGTGTGCGTCTGTGTGGTCACGTGATGTGCATTTTCAGAGGTAGAGAGGAAGGAGGGCTGCTCAGAAATGCTATACGCCACTGTGGATGTCAAATCGTTGTCGTTCTAAAATGCCATATAAAAACAAAGACAGTGTAAACAGGGCCTGAGTGTGTACTTTTCGCGAGCGGATTTGCAACTGGGGCAGGCGGAGGATCGCGATGCCGGTGTTGTCTATCGGACGAACCGTACGTAATACGTACATAGCAGAGCTTGCAAAACTGTGCTTTTTTTGTCGACAACACGAGCGTTGTCAACACAACTCACTGGAAATCCAAAATAGTTACACACCGGCGACTTCATTTAAAGAGGAGAGGGTTTAAGTTCTGTCGACGGGTCTCCTGCTTCTGGAGTTTAACAAGCACTTCAACAAGCCTGTTTTTTTTCCCGCTTGGCAAGCCAAGCTGACGTGACATGGGGGCGTGGCAGCATCGATGAATCTTTTTTTTTTTGATTCGATAATCGAAATTGATCATAAATTACTACTAAAGAGTGTCTCCATGTGGCCGCTCTACCATGTAGGCCTGATTGGTGGAGTACTTCAGAGATTCTTCTGGAAGGGTCTCCTCTCTTCACAAATTAGCTCTGTAGCACTTTCAGAGTGACCTTTAGCTGCATTTCCTCTGTCAAGCCAAAAGCGAGTGTTCCAGGGCAAGCCAAGGCCAGTCGCATTTCCACCGTCACTTCCGGGGCCTGATCAGGCCAAAGCAAGACTTTCTCAGGGCCATCGGCTGGCCTTTTTCAGCCCGGCGAACACTTCGGGGAAAGGAAAGCCATCTGAGGCATCGAGGCAGAGGGAAAGCAGAGGCAGAGTTTGCAAGGTGGTCTGCCGCTCACATTACACTAGCTTTCCCATTACGCACGAATTCTTGGCCTGACAGTAGAAACGCGATTTGATTTCGGCCTCACTGCTCAACCTCCCGGGTGATTGGCCTGGACTGGCCCGATAAAAGCCCTGGCTCGCACTGACCCGACAGTGGAAGTGTGGCTTTTGGGTCCTCCATGATTAAGGCGCTTCTCTCCTGATGCCTCAGTTTGCCCGGCAGTCGCTTAAGAAAGAGTCCTAATGGATCCAATATACTTCCATTTGTGGATGATGGAGGCTAATGTGCTCATTGGGACCTTCAATGATTGAGTAATTCTGTAGGCCCTCCCCAAATCTCTGCTTTGTTACAATGTTGTCTTGGAACAGACCTTTCCCTGGACTTCATCTCATGTCTGTAGATTCTAAAACTTCAGACTGTCGTTTCACAACGAAAGGAACAGTTGTACCTTGTCTATAAACAACAATGCAGCTTTGTTCCACTTTGCTAATTGTTTATTTAAATCTAGTAGGTTGGGTGTCTCGTGTAGCAAATCCATTGATTGCAGATCCTGACTTTTCTCTGGCCAATCAGTATCTGCAGGATTTGCATATCACATTTTGGTAACAGTACTTCTTGCTTAGAACCTGACTCAAGGTGGAACTGTAGAAAAACTGGAACTGTACACAGTTTAACCATCCCCCTCTTCCTCTAAAAGGGAGTCATACCAAACCATACCTGCTGTGCCATGTACCACTGGTAAAGTATGAAAATGTCAATTGCACATGTTGATTCATTTAATGACAGTACATAAGGTCTGGTGTTCAATCTCTTTCTCAGGAGTCTGTTGGTACAAGGAGTGCTCCCGCTGGAGATCCGTCAAGTGTGAACAGTCCAGCATCTCCAGCCAAGAGCACAGAGGAGCAGAAGAAACTTAAACCGCAGGCCCTCACCAATGTCACATCAGAGCCTATCAGCACCATGTCGCCGCCGCCTGCCAAACGGCTTGCCCTGTCAGCCAAGAAGGTCAGTCCTACTGCTGCTGTCTCTGTTCATCTGCTAGCTCTTTCAAGATCGTTTGTGTGTTTGCTTTACCATGTATGTCCACTTCATTCCTCCTTGACAAACAGGGATTATTTGAAAGAGCAATTTAGTCTGGAACGCTAGGTTTTTGCTAATGCCAGCCAGTTATAATCCTGTATTAATATTACGTTTAATTCTCAGCTCATGTCTGTTTTGTCAGTTTGCAGTTTTCACTGCTGTCCTTTTAAGACTTTCTTTTCTCTTTTCTTTTTTGATTTCTAACAACTTCTAATTCTTCTCTGCTACACTTTCTTTTTTCCTTCCCCATTCCTATTCTTTGTTCTCCCTTTCTTATTTTCTTTGGTCTTGATTTTCTTCCCCATATGGGTCCCTTTGTCATTGTCACGTTTCATGGCTATGTTTTTTTTTTTTAATTTAAAATTTTTTTTAGACCACAAAGTTTTTATTTATGTCAATAACTGCAGGCCAGTGTCCGGCAGAGCCTGAGCAGCAGCACTGAGGCTCGGCCCCCTTCATCTTTTCATCTGTCCAGTGACCCCACACACTTTCTCAGCCCAGCCTCGCTCCACCCGCACCACAGGTACTGTCCTGATGCACACCTTCAGTGCAAAGTCACAAGTTTCTTGTAGTGCTCAACCACACGTCTTGTGCAAATTCACTTTTAGTCTGTTCAGAAAAAATTAAGCCCATTTTATTTGAACTATGATCGTGCAGAACTTAATTTGATTCCTAAAACCCAAACTTGATATGTTAGTCTGTGCCGTTTCAGATAATTAAAACATTACTAGACCTTATATAGTGCAACTCCTTTACATGAATCGTAAGAAACTTTGTGTTTTGTTATTTTTGATAAGAAACCAACTCTCCTTGTTCAAATTACGAAATTCCCTCAGCTGTCACACGAAAAGTAGGTTGTCTTTTCTTTTTCATACCAATTTTTCCCATTGACTTGTAAAAACGAAAGTAGTGACAGATGATTTTATAAATGTCTAGAACAGTGTCCAAACTCGGACCTAGAGGGCCGGTGTCCTGAAAAGTTTAGTTCCAGCTCCAATCTGACACAACCTGGCTAGCTAATCAAGCTCTTGCTAGGCTTTCTAGAAATGTTCTTGCAGGTGTGTTGAGGCAAGTTGGAACTAAAAACGGTAGGACACCGGCCCTCCAGCCCCGAGTTTCAATTGTATCTGTTTGCAACCTTTATGATGCAAGCTGAGACTGCATCACTCAGCAATGCAATGTCAGACTCAATGCACTCAATGGAGTGAGTGACGTCACTGTGACGGGTAGGGTAAGGGGTGGGGTTAGGTAAGCGCATTAAAAAGCATTGGATGCAGCTCAGATTGCACTGCATCGAGTCTGCAGCCAGACCCCTCTCCCGAGTTTGGACACCCCTGGGCTAGAATGTCTAGAATTAGTTGCTTGAAGTGTTGAATATTTAACATTTGTCATTAAATGTGTCATTAAACCTTACTGTTATATCATTATACCTTCTTCCTATATCAAACCCATAACAATAAAGCTTTTTACTAAATGACACATGGGACAACACTTCTAATACAATTGAAGCACTTTCCAAACCATTTACTAGTAATGGTACTTTAGAGAGGCCTGTTTTACATCTTTTCTCATTCCATTCTTCTTGATATCAAATCGCTTCTGACATCTTAACTTAAAAAAACTGTAAATGTTTTTGTATTTGGCCTAGATTTTCACCTCATTCGCTCAGCCTTCAGTCTCCACCTTCAGCTCACCTTTCTAAAGATTTGAGTCCCCTTAAACGGCCCTCCTCCACTCTGGAGCCACTCGCTCCTGCTCTCTCTCCGCAGACCAATGGCCATCAGCCACACAGTTCACCCAGACCAATTCAAAGCCAGAACTTGTCAGCCTCAACCACACCACTTCTCGCCAGTCCTGTAGTAAAAAACAAGAAAAAGAAGCTAAAAAGATCACATTCAGAAGTGGAGCAGGAATACCTTACAGCTTCAGCCCCTGAAGAACCAAAGTCAAGAGCTGAAAACCAGAAGAAGAAGAAGAAAAAGAAGAAACGGAAAAGGGAGGCAGAGGCAGATGATCTTGAGGGACAGAGAGAGAGCGTGGAGTCCCATCTTGAGCCCCATCAAGATGAGGACTGGTGTCTGGGAGAAACATGGAGCATCGGCTCTGCTGCCAAAGGAGATGAGTTTAAGCTTTCTGAAGCGGAGGAGATTCACCAGAACAAACCTCAGTCTGTGCCTGAGAAACACCACGACCTGAAGAAGAAGAAGAAGAAAAAGAAGCACAAACTCGCTGAGCAACTGGAGGAGCACAGAAATGGAGCCACATCATCGAAGTGGTAAGTTATATCTTTTAAACTGCTTCACTATCCCCCCCTCCCCCCAAACTTCCTTTTGTTGGAGAACACATGACGTCCGTCATAGAAAACTGCAGGTGTGAGTAGGTCACTGTAGGGTGTTGAGCCTGGCCCACGTGATCAAGTCCAAGACTTGTCTATCACTGGGGTCTTTCAGGAATTTCTCCAGCTATCAACTCCTCCATGAATGCCATAGCATCTGCTCCGGTGTAATGAGTGTAATTGTTAACCTTTTGGTACAGTGAGCACAACATCAACCTAGCCAACTGCCAAGTTGGTTCATTGCTAGGGTTTTAACACTCCACTCTTTAAGTATGATGCTGTGTTCACACCAGACGTGGTACGCACGGATAAATCGGGCTATTCGCGATAGCCGCGTAAATAGCCGTGTGAACATTTGAGTTTACTCGCTTCATTCGCGCGTCAACCCCCGCTTCATTCGTGCGTCAAATCCGCTTCAATCGCGTGTCAGATTCACTTCAAAACAGACGCAGATTTGCGTGATGGGCAGGGCTTCTCTCTGCCTGGTGACTAGCTTCATAGCTTAATGGCTAACATGGATTTTATTGAGAAAATAACAGTGTTTATTTGCTTTATGGAGACTGAAAAACAGCGTTGATACGTTTAGGGTCATGTCTGAGTCCACTGCATCCTTTCAGAGGTGCATCCAGCTCTGAGCTCATAAACTCCTCCAGAAACTGAACCTGGATCACTGAGGCTTTTAACGGTGCTTCTGACTGAGCCAAGCCCAGTTTGATGACTTGTTGTCGGTGTCGGCTGGAGGACTTCCCCTGGGACACCATCAACAGGTTCTACGTCACAATCACACCCCCACAAGAGCAAGCTTCTGATTGGTTAATGCGGCGCGAATGTCCGCTGAAGTTCAGATTTTCGAACTCGAGAGATTCGCGCGAAACGCTTGTTAAGCGTGTCAAACACGCAAAATGCTCAATTCGCCCCGTGCCATTCGCTCAAATTCTCGTCATTCACGCCGTGTCATTCATGCGTATCGCGCTGCAGGATGTCTTTTCGTGCGTTTGCATTGACTTAACATGTAAATCACTCACACTTGACGCAAGTGCCGCGTCTGGTGTGAACGCAGCATCAGCCTATTGGGAGCCACTATTTTTAGCTTTTTTCTGGGCTCCTTTGGTTGGGTCTGCAGGTCAGAAAGTCTCCATCTTACTTGGCAGTGTTCTCTCTTACAAGGCTGGGAGACCCTCCAAGCATTGCGGTGACTCTCTTATTTGAACTTTGCACCTGAATTGGTGAGATTTTCTGAATCCTAGAGAAATGTGCGTCATTAAGTTCCTCTCTAAAGGGGCTTAGGAATGTCCCTGTGGTGTAAAACAAGATCCGTTTGTCTGTTTTAGCATTTAATCAGCAATTACCTGCATCATACAACTATGAGAAAGTGGATAGCCAAAGCCATCTCTTTTGCTTATGAAGCGAAGAGTACAGCTAATAATCTGGTCTCAAACTCTCAAGGTTCAGATGATGATGTCTCAGGTTGCTTATGTAAACTGTGATTGACTAGCTTCAGGCTATTCAGAAGCTAACTCTATTTGGTTCAGGCATGTTTTATTGCTACCTTGTCATGATGTCTCAAGCTACATTTGAAAACACAGACACATTCACACCACATACCACTTCCCATGCAGCGTCTCATTCTCTCTCAGGTTCTAAGTCAGAAATGACAATGCTTCGTGCAATGTAAAGTAACTCTTTTTGAAATGACAGCGATTGATACATCTGTGGTCTAATATAAAATGTTCTTAAATATGAGTGTGGTTATCGTTACATCATTGATTTAAATGTGACAATTAATTTATTTTTTTTCTTGCAGCGCTGTTGTAAAAGAAATTGGTGATGCTAATGAGAAGACAGAGGAGCTACGAAAGACCAAGAAGAAAAAGAAAAAGAGAAAACCGAAAGATTTCCTAGAAGAGAATGAAAGGCAGAGCAATGGAGGAAGCCTTCACATAGATCTTCGAGAGACAAACAGAATTGAGTCCAGTGAGATGAGCAATGCGGACAAGAGGAAACCTGATAAATCGAAACCAGGTTAATATGCATGCTGCTGTCCGTTATACACATTAGACCTTTTATCTTTTAGTAATTAAAACAAAAACAAATCACATTTCTTTTTAAAATTAACTTTTTTTCTATGTACACACAAGACATATTTCCTTCAAATATTGTTCACACATTTGTCTAATTCTGTGTTAGTGAGCACTCCTCCTTGCCGAGATAATCCATCTGTCTCACAGATGAGGCATATCAAGATGGCCTCACAACCGCAGACCATGTGTAACCACACCAGCCCAGGACCTCCACATCCAGTATCTTTACCTCCAAGATTGTCTGAGACCAGCTATCCCAGACAGCTGCTGCAATAATTATTTTGCTTAACCAAAGAATTTCTGCAAAATCCGTCTCAGGGAAGCTTGTCTTCATGCTCGTTGTCCTCATTGGGGCCTGTAGTTCATCATCGTAACAGTCTTGAGTAGGCAAATGCACACAGAGCTCTCCAAACACTTTTAAGAGGTGGTCTCTTCATGGATGAATCCCAGTTTTTACTGTGGGGTAGATGGCAGGTGGTGTGTATGGCATTGTGTGGTTGAGTGGTTTGTTTCTGTAACGTATTGTTGCAGTGGGGTAAGGGTACGGTGAGATGTATGTTCCAGTTCCTGCCAATTTCCAGCAACTTTGCACTACCATTGAAGAGGAATGGACCATCATTCCACAGACCACAGTTAACAACCTGATTGATTCTATGAGGAGATGATGTGTAACACTTCCCAACACAGTAAAACTACACATTTTAGAGTGACCTTTTACTGTGTTTCGACTAAGGCACACCTGTGCAATAATCATGTCGTCTAATCAGCATCTTGATATGCCACATATCAAATCAAATCAGGCCTTTATTTGTCAGATACACTTTCGAATAGTGAAATTGATCCGATCCGATCCGATCTGGCCAAATCTTGATGCAGAGCCGCTAGTTTCACCCCAATGTTTTCCAATTTGCGGTCAAGGACCATAGTTTGAGCATATGCGACCCTACCCGTATGCGTTTCAATTAAGCCGGCCAGCTGGGTGGGGTTTTGAGCAGCACAGACCGCTTTCATTAATCGTCGATACCCCATGGCCCCGCATAAGCCCATCAGCGGAAACCCTGTTATCAAAGTTCGGAATAGGTAAATATCTTCAACATCCTTCAGAGACAGAGCAGCCAGGCACAGGACGCGCCACTTCTCCCACCCGTCCATCACGTATCCAGCTGCAAACGTCCCCGCAGGACAAGTGGACTCTCCCGAGCCCAAACTTCTTGTCGAGAAGATGGTGCCAATTGCATTCAGAGACTAGTTGATCAAATCCATAATTCCTTATTCATTTGGATAGCAGGGCACGGAGAGCGAATAAAGCCTGGTTTATACTTCTGCGTCAAGTGACCGGCGTAACCCACGGCACATGCAATGCGCATAGCTGTGCGTTTATACTTCTGTGCGCTGTCTCCATTGATCTGCATTAACACTTCCGAAACGCTAGTTGGCAGCAAGGTGTAAATGCTCCTCTGTGTCGAGTTTCTTCACTGATGTTTTGCTTTTCCTGAACACTTCCTGAATGTACAAGTGGTTTAAACTCGCTCATTTTGAGGCAGGAACCGGCGGATGAGCAACAACTTTAATTATGAGGTAAACGCAAAACAAAACTTTCCATCCAGAGCTCCTTCACGGGACTCCACACTTGTAAACAATCGCTGCATCGGGCTCGCGCCATTCGCACGACTCTCGGTCCCGCCCAGACTCGTCAGTGCTACCAAGCCGACCAATCACAGAGCTTGCGCTACGCGTCGTTGTGACGTGTACAATTTTTGAGAGGTGCACGTCAGCGACGCCACGGCGTATGGCTATGCGTCAACGCCGTAGCATACACCTGCAATTGACGCAGAAGTATAAATCAGCCTTAAGACGAAGAAAAGAGGAGCCAGCAAGGAGAGATATGGGACGGAGAGGGAAAAAGTGTGACTGCCTTCGCCGAAAGGCAAAGAAGAAAAAAAAAAAAAACCTGAGGTGGATGGATTATCTCAGCAAGTGCTCATTTGCAGACATTTTACAGCAGAATTGAGATTATTTAATGCTTTGTTGGAATGAAATTATTAAAAAAAGACATGAAGAGACAAGTTGATGGCATATAAGTTTCCTGTATTGCCACAATGTTGTCTTTATTCTTTCATTAAGACAGTTACTTTTTTTATTCTGAATTAATCAGCAGCTGTGACCAAATCAGTTGAATTCAGTGAACGACTCATCCTGACACTAAGAGTAGTCAACTGTTGATGGCAAGACGTTGTTGAAATATCACCTTTGAGTAAAAAAAGCCCAAAATATTAAGGTTTCTTAAGACATCAAATGAGTCCTTTCTCTGGTTTTCTGTTTCAGCTCCAGTGATTGTTTGGGACAGTCAGGTTCAAGATGGATTCAAGAGCAGCCAGAATCATGAAGAAGCAGAGGACATGTCTGGCAAAAAGTCCTGCGCTGTTCCTGTTTGCTGGGACGGCAAGAAAAGCTGTGATGTGGTTCAGGAGCTCCTCAAGAACTCCTCTGATAAAGCCTATGGAACTGAGGGTGAGCTTTCAATCAATGTGTTTTTCATTTGTTTTTGTCCTTTTCCTGATAGTCAGGCTCGATTCTGTTGCTGTCGTTAATCTGGCACCCTGTATTTCAGAGGAGGGGCACAGTGAAAAAGTGTTTTGAATTTGAAGTGCAATACCTTATTCTACCACCGGATGTCACTCTTACATGTACTGCATTTTTAAACTACCTGTATCTGAAATGCCGCATAGATCCAGATGGTAATTATTCCACAAAACTGCCTCAGAACATTTAACCTCCTAGGGCTTAGTGGTCACGTACGTAAACAGCACATTTTAGCTCTTAAGTGGCTATTTAAAATACTTTGAATGTTTTATATTTTGTTACAGACATTCAGTGTCATCCAGCAACTGTTTTGCAGCATATGAAATGTCCCAAATACTGTTTTTAACTATCCAAAAAATAAAAAAATATATAAAATATATATATATATCCAAAATATTAAAAAAATCTCCAAAAACTCCTTTAACAGGGTTCTTACGGGTGCTGGAAATCCTGGAAAATGCTTGATTTTTAATATTGTGTTTTCAAGGTTAGAAAAGTGCTTGGATTTTGAACAAAGTGTTTGTACCTGCTTGAATTTGAAATTGCTGGGCTCGAAATTGTGACTTTTGGTTGCATATGCGCACAATTTCATCTGTGACCTCTAAATATATTTGAGAGCATATGTGCGAGTGCATAAATAGTTTTCATGCGTCTAGTTTTTATTGCAAAACGTTCACCGCATGCATGTATGTATGGAGCCAATAATATGCCAAAACAATCTGAATTTGAATTGTCAAATTATTAACACCTGTAAGCTAATAAAACTGATTATATGCTATTAAAAATTGTTTAACCGAATTTGAAACTCTTAACTTGATTATTAAACATCTGAAATTTAAGTCAAATTTTTGTAGACATATTTTCAAACTTTAGATTTTTTGGTTCTGAATTCAAAGACTGCAAATATTGGGTATGTAAAAAATACAGTTTTAAGTTGTTCAGTTGTTAAACTGTTTTGGCATTATTAGCTTCATACGTATTTAGGAGAAATTCACCCAGAATGCAACTTGAATGCATCTGAAACGCCAATTCAATATATATATATATATATATATTTAATAAATACTGTAAAAAAATAGCAATGCACTTGAAATATCATGAACAACTGGTCATGAAAGTTTGGGACTACACCCAAACAAAATCTGACTTTGGTCTCTTTCTACCTAAAGTTGATATCTCAAGAATGAGCTCAAACTTAAAAATATACTTCATCCAAAAACTAAACTTTTTTAATTTATTTTTTAATTATTTTTGGGTGAACTATCCCAATAAATCTATGCTCTAGAGTATTCAACAATTTAAGGTGAAATGTCATATTGTGTTTTTTAAAATAGCACAATGGATTCAAATGTGATTAAATGCATACAACATATATAAACATGGTTAACCGTGGTTGTTAGGTGCTGAAAAAGCATACAAATGCACCTTTAAAGTGCTTGGAAAGTGCTGGAATTTGAAGTTGGAAACGGTGTAAGAACCCTGTTTAAGATCTCCTGAAGTTCTCATCTGAATACTTGATTTGGTTCGCTGAGCTGAATTGTTGACTGTTTTGATTCATTTCATCCATCAGTTCTCAGTTGGGAAGGCGATCCGTCACTCATCAGCAGAGATGCCGTTCAGGATTCACGCTACGCTAAAAACCTGACTGTCATTGATGAGTGGGATAGTGAGTTCGACAGCGGAAAGGTGAGGATTAAAACTCTGACCTCTCATATGTTCTGTGCCTAATACTGAAGAGTCATTTAAAGCAGATCTCAGACTAATAGTCCACTGCAGACAGTTTACAGACATATTGCTAGTCATAGTTTCATTACAGAGCACATTGTCTGAAATGTTGTATTTGGATCAAAAACGCAACATCCCATTTTAGGTTCTGCAGGAAATTGACATTTGCAAACGTGAATTTATGTACATAAAAGATGACTTTACATGCAAGTAAAGTGCTTTGTTTCATACAAAGAACTTGTGCTTGTTTCAAATAACAAACTCTGCACATGACATATATGACAGTAGAGTTTATGTATATGTGTTCTATTAAGTATATACATGTGAAGTGTATAGAACAAGTTGTTTTATTTGCCTCATTCGAATAGGTGAAGAAAATTAAAAAATACAAAAAGGACAGGAGGTGGAACGGAAACGTCTTCCAGAAGATCCAGGAACATCGTAACATGTGGTCTGTGACGGGTGGCAGACGGTGCAGTCTGGGCTATCGACACTCAACGGTGCCTCACTTTATTCTCTTAATTTTCCCCCGCTTTAAACTATAAAGACATTTTTTTGGCCAGTTTACAAGACTTTTCTACTATTATTGGTTTTAAATGCATGTTGTAATTTCTAAGACTTAAGTTTGATGCTTTAGACTGTTTGAATTAATTGTATTACTTGAATATACAGTAGTCAACCTTTGAGGTTTATGAAAATGACCTAAAACTATTGAAAGATGCCCAGTCTCATCTTATTTATAAAAACATGTCTGATCCTGATTCAAATGTTTCAGTCTCCTTAAGAAAAAAAGTTTTTTTTAAAATATTTTTATTTTACTTATTTTTGTAATTGTTTTTAAATGTATTTATTTTATTTATTTTTATTCATTTATATTTATTTATATATATATATATATATATATATATATATATATATATATATATATATATATATTTTTTTTTTTTTAATTTATTTATGAATTGTTTTTTATTACTATTATTATTTGTTTATTTTCATATATTTGTATTTATATATTTTTTATTTATATGTATTAGTTTATTTTTATTTATTTATATTTATTAACATTTTTGTTTTAGTATTTTTTTATTCATTTTTTATATTTATTTTTATTTGTTTATTTATATTATTATTATTCATTATGTATAAATTTGTTTTTGTTTTTCACTTATATTATTATAATATTTGTTTTTTATGTGTTTGTTTTATTTGTACATATTTATTTATTTGTATTTACATTTTTTCTTATTTGTTTTTTGTTTTTTTATCTATTTATATTTGTTTTAATGTTTTATATTCATTTATTCATATTTGTTTGTTTTATTTATTTATTTATATTTATTTTTTTATTTATTTGTTTTTGTTTTTATCTATATGTATTTACTATTTATTTATCTTTATATATATATTTGTATTTATATTTTTATTCATTTATATGTATTTTGTTTTATTTGCATTTATTTACTTATTTGTGTATTTATCGTTTCATTTATTTATTTATTATTTTTATTTATTTCTATATTTATAATTATGTTTTTATTTATACGTATTTGTTTATTTTGATTTATTCACATTTTAATTTATTATTATGATTAATTTATTTAGATTATTCATCCATTTTTATTTGTTTATTTATTATTATTATTATTAATATTATTTGTATATTTTATTTATTTATTCATACATTTTTATTTTTTTAAATATCTAGATTAAACCTTAAAAATAAAAGCGTAAATGCTAACCAGAACCAAGTATATCATTTATTTCTCTGAACCGTACAAACCAAACTGAACAAACTCCAAATAGACCATTAGTGTGCACTAGGAGTATTTGAAACTTCCTGCAAGTTTATAACCATCAGTTGTTTTATTTTTCAGTTTTGAGATGCGGGTCCCAAGCGCGTGCCGTGACCAGACCAGTTGCCTTATTGGATCAGAAGCAGTCAGATCTGTCTCGGATTCTCCCGAAGAACACAAGTTACCCAGAATGCAGCAGTACTGTGAAATAAAGCGATGAGGCTGAGGCTCTCTCTCTTCAGGCCGTCCGAAATCCACAATATATTCCACTAACGGTGCCCTTATGATCTTAGGGGTCATAGTAAATGTGAGTCATCACCCTGTTCACCTTTCACGAGCCTATAGAAACAAATGTTAAACCGGACTGCTTTTAAAGGACTGTTCGAGATGAAATGGCCAATGATCCAGACTTCCCGTTTCTCATTGTAAACACGGGAAACTGAAGCTGCCACCTGCTAATGGTTTAAAGTGTAATTCACATATTATCTCCCCTTATCCAATCATTTAGCTTAGCCATATTTAAGCCACTTCCCTATATTATAAGACAAGTGTTTTCATGATTTCTGGAGGAAGAAGTCGTCTTTATTAATTGTCAAAAATTAATTATCTTTAATATTCCTCAGACGTGGCGTTCTGCATTACAATACATCAAGGTCATACTTCTTTCCCTCATCAAATCCACATTTGCAGTGATTAAAAAGTGACTCTCTTGTGACCATTTCCAGTCTGACGACGTGTCTCTTATGCACAAAAACGCTGCATACGACAATGCAATACATTTCATCCATGCGAGATAAACAAACAAACAAACACGGGCCTTAACACAAACCACTGTGTTTTCGCCAGGAGGGCTGAAACGGCTAATAATTAGACTCTGGATCTGCTTGTTTGAGTTAGCGTTTCCCCCCCCCATCCTGCATCTCTTATTCTACTCTCTATGCAACTGCAGTCAATCCTGAGGATGGTCAGTCCTGGGAGAAACTCTTCGAACGCTGGTCCAAACGTCCTCCGCGTGAGCTGTAAAACACCCCGTCGTCCGCGTCCGTTCACCGTGCTTTTCTACATCGATGTACATGCTAATAATCCACCGCAGGAGGAAAGCAATGATGAAGTTAAGGACATTGTACAGTCGACCTTGTGCTCTCCGTGATTCCCCCTGTCATGAATTTGTTTCGGATTTTAGAGAAGTTGCCTTGGTTTAATTTTTAAAGAAGCGAATAGAACATATTGCAAATTCTACTTATTAAATGCACATCGCTAAAGTGAAGCCTAATGTATTTAAGGTTTGTGGAAATGTAAACGAGGAGTTTTATTAACCAGTAGGTGTGTGTGTGTGTGTGTTGAAAGACTGCTCTGAGGTCTTGTTCAGGACTGGACACACATACGCACGTTCAACACTTGCGTTCTGTAGGATGTCTGTTTCCTCTTAGAGACTCACTGGAGATACTGTAGGTTATTTCAGAGACTGAATGCTGACGAACACAAGCGTGTCATGTTCGAGTCGATGGTTCTGTACCTAATGCCTTTTCTGAAGAGAAGTCATTCAGTATTGCAAATACATAAATATAGATATACTGGTGCAATAAAGTTGTGACTTTTTGTGAAGAGCTACTTCTCTTGTCATTTTCTTTAAGAGGTTTATCTCGTATCAGAAATGTTTCCCATACAAAACAAAACACTTGATTTTTAATTTTTTTTTAAACTGAGGGTTTTTATTTTTATTAGGGATGTAACGATACACTCAGCTCACGGTACAATGTGTATCACGATATAATGTTCACGATTCAATATGTATCACGATATTTGGAATAAAAAATTTTTATTAAACTGAAATGCAAATTTTGTTTAAAAAAATGTAATTACCAAGTAAACTATTTTTTATGCATTTCTTTTGTTTCAACTTGTTAAACTGAACCTTCTTTAAGAAAATAAATTAAACAGGCCTGTCTCTGGAAAATAAAACAAATTAAAAACTTCTTATAAAATATTATTGAAATGACAGACAAAACACATTACACAGGACAGTCGTGGCTCTTTTCAGCAGTTTAGGCAGGTTTACTATTTCTTCGGCGTCGCTGATGTCGGCGCTATCAAGTATATCATGTTGACGTACATTTTTATGTACCTCTGTACTCAAAAGGGTTAATGCTGGTGGTAATCACTCTAAAGTGCGATATGATTATTTAAATAATGTGCACGCTTTCTGTTTCATTTCCACTTCTAAGTGCTGTTCATACTTCAAACGCGGCTCCTGAACGATCACTCTGTTCCACAAACTGAATGTTGTTTACTACTTTATTACCTGTTAGTCACAACCTGCAGGTTCTGTTCACTGAAGCAGACGCGTGCGCGTCTATCATAGTCCGCCCTCTGTAGTAACAGCTCACGGTCAGCTCACGTCATGTGTGATTTTGCGGCCGCCAATACATCATTATATGAAGACAGAATGATATTTTAGGGTGAATTGTACCTTATAAATACAGTATGTGACTCTTTCAACACCATTAGGAGGTTTCCATGTCGCTGTGCAAAGTATGTGAATCACTGTGAAGACTTTTAAACTTAGGCTATGTTTGACCCAGTATGCGTGTCAAAAAGCGGATGAGTCTAAAGCAATGACTGTACAACTGAAATGTTGCCAGACGTCTGATTTTGAGAGGATGGGCCATCCTCTATTTCAGCTTCACTCATCTTGGTCTGCTAACATTACTGCTGCTGCAATCTGAACTCACGTGCGACAGCAGGTGGAACGTAGCTCACGTGCAAACAGCTCAACTAATAAGAGAAAACGGACGTCATATCGTAATCAAATCGTCATAACGCCACGATGCATATTGTGACATTTTTGCATCTTATTAAATCGTACAACGATAAATCGTTACACCCCTAATTTTTATTGTTTTCAAAAAAAGAAAAAGAATTGTTTTGCACAAGTTTTTTTGTTTTAAACATTTTATTTCTTTTTCAGTGATAACCACTGAGCCACTGTGTCACCTGTTTTTAAAATGACTTCTCAGTAAATAATTTATGCTGTGTTTTGGGGGATACGTAATATATGTTAAGTACAGTATATTTGTACAATATATATATATATATATATATATATATATATATATATATATATATATATATATATATATATATATATATATATATATATATTTATTAACAGAAAAGAAAAACTAATGATTATTAAAATTAACAGTATGATCTGGGAGACAGTTTACTGCTGGTAAAGCAATAGCATGTATGTCCAGCAGAGGGCCATAGATCTCAGTTGATGTTTCTGGATGTGGCCAACTATAATATAATATATTAAAAATGTTTAAGGTGTTAAAAAAATAGGTGGGGTATTAATATAATCTTTATTTAGGTGAGGTGTTTTTGAAAGATTTACTATAGCAAAAATGCCAAAGAAATTCACAAAACTAATTTTATTCATTAAACTTTTTCAAATTATTTTCATTTTTAAATTGAGTGGGACAAAGAGTTGTGTACAGTGTGTGTGTGTATTATATATGTGTATGTATATATATATATATATATATGTATATATATATATGTATATATATATATATATATATATATATATATATATATATATAATTTTTATATATATATATATATATATACACATATATATATATATATAATTTTTATATATATATATATATATATATATATATATATATATATATATATATATATATATATATATATATGAATGATTTTTTATTAAGTATTTCAGAAACTGCTGATCTACTGGGATTTTCACGCACAACCATATCTACTATCTAACCATATTTACTATAGCAAAAATGCCAAAGAAATTCACAAAACTAATTTTATTTATTAAACTTTCCAATTATTTTCATTTTTAAATTGAGTGGGACAAAGAGTTGTGTACAGTGTGTGTGTATTATATATATATATGTATATATATGAATGATTTTTTTATTAAGTATTTCAGAAACTGCTGATCTACTGGGATTTTCACGCACAACCATATCTCGAGTTTACAGAGAACAGTCCGAAAAAGAAAAAATATCCAGTGAGTGGCAGCTCTGTGGGCGCTAATGCCTTGTTGATGCCAGAGGAGAATGGCCAGACTAGTCTGAGCTGATAGAAAGGCAATGGTATCTCAAATAAGCACTCGTTACAACTGAGTTATTCAGAAGGGCATCTCTGAACGCAGAACACATCCTATCTTAAGGCGGATGGGCTACAGCAGCAAAAAACCACGCCAGGTGCCACTCCTGTCAGCTAAGAACAGGAAACTGAGGCTACAATTCGCACAGGCTCAGCAAAATTGGACCATAGAAGATTGGAAAAACTTTGCCTTGTCTGATGAGTCTCGATTTCTGCTGCAACATTTCCCTTTATGACCACAGTGTACCCATCTTCTGATGGCTACTTCCAGCAGGATGAGTATAATGTCAACATGAACCAAAATCTCTGAGGTACCAGTTCTGAAGGCAACACGGGGTTCAACCTGGTACTAGTAAGGTGTACCTATTAAAGTGGCCGGTGAGTATGTATACATAGTGGGGGAAATAAACATTGAACACGTTTTTTTCTGGTAATATTATTTCTTAAGGAGCCGTTGACATTGAATTGATCCAGACTTTGGTAAAAACCCAAACAATACAAACATAGTTTAACAAAACAAAACAATCTGAAAAATGTTACGTGTTATAACAATGGAATGACACAAGGAGAAAGCACTGAACTACTGACATGTGTTTAGTACTTTATTTAAAAGGCTGTTTTGGTGTTGGAAGCTTAGAGACGGCTCTCATATGGAGAACGAAGTCTTCGAACATGACTTCAAAATGCATTCCGGTTCAATACTTTAACAGAGTGTATACCATTGGTGCATACATCTTGATGGTTCTGTGGGTCTCGTCTATCAAATCTGATCTTTATCTTTAAGACAGGTGATTTCCTGAGCCCTTCTACAGCATTATTTTCTTTCTCTGAAATAATTTGAGTTTGCTTGGTCAGTCCAGTCCGGAGTCGACTCCAGTTCCTAAACCCAGTCCAATGTCTGCCCCTGTCTCCAAACCCAGTCCAGTGTTAGCTTCAGTTCCTGAGCCCAAACTTTAGGCCACAGTCTTAAATGCATTTAACTGCAGTTTATGGCACATTCAGACTCATTGTTGAATCTACCTTAAGGTTAATTCAATCCGTGGCATGTTCTTGATTTTTTTTTAAGTGTCGATAATTAATAGTTTGATTTTTAAATAGGCCTAAACTTTGCCTTTTGTGTTTTTGTTTGAGTTTGTTAAATAAAATTAAAAACATTCAGGAATAAGTTGGCGGTTCATTCCGCTGTGGCGACCCCGGATTAATAAAGGAACTAAGCCAACAAGAAAATAAATGAATGAATGAATGAATGAATTTAGAGTATTTAACTCTAACATATGCTTCTTACATTTTTATAATGAATTTATCAAAACTACCATATTTTATTTGTTTTGTACCATATTTTTTATTGCTATTCAACATAAGTAGTTGAATAAACAGTGTTATAGACGTTTGAATGTCTTATTAGCACACTAAAAGCACTATTTCTTAAATGAATTGTCTCACTTTAGATGTATTCATTTATTTTTCGTTTGATTTGAGTAAGACACATCCTGGGCTTTTTAAAATGCAATTGCTATTAAGTTGTTGCGCTACACAGAGGCGCATTTAGGGATTTTGGGGCCCTAACCAATTCCAGCCAGGGGGCCCTAATCTTGATATGCACCCATTATCTTTTATTTAATATTTATTTATATTGCTGTTTTTTTTTTATATCACTCAATCTTCTTTTAAATTAATCCAATCACTACATTTTAAATGTTTAGTTTTCTTAAAATGGACTTAACTAAAAAATAAAAAATAAATTAAATATATATATAATAATAATAATAAATATATATATATATATATATATATATATATATATATATATATATATATATATATATAATAAAAATTATATATATATAATAAAAATAATATATATATATATATATATATATATATATATACATTTTTTATTTTATCTTTTTTTTTATAAATTTGACTGCAGGACTGCTCCATGATGGATATTTTATTTTGTATTATTATAACATAACATTACATTATTATTATTTGATTGTACACTAATACTATTTAAGTACGTTAAAATTGTATTTGTCAAACTCTCACCATGCAAAATATGATAGGAAACGATGCTATATATAGTTTATAGGTATAATTTATACTTTTAGATATTTATTGGGGCGCCCCACATTTCCAGGGGTCACCAAGCTTGTTCCTGGAGGGCTGGTGTCCTGCAGATTTTAGCTCCAACCCTAATCAAACACACCTGAACAAGCTAATCAAGGTCTTACTAGGTATACTTGAAACATCCAGGCAGGTGTGTTGAGGCAAGTTGGAGCTAAACCCTGCAGGGACACCGGCCCTCCTGGACCAAGATTGGTGACCCCTGCTTTAAGCGGCCGCCGACCTCGATATTGGTTAAATCCGCTCTGGCGCTACACATCGCAATATGTCACAGAAGAAATAAAAAAAAAAAATCTTTAGGGCAGTTCACCCTATTCATGTAGCTTTGCGTG